TTTCCCTCATTTTTTACGAGGACAGTTTGAACGAGCGCGGCATCATTAATGCGCAGATTTACCTCGACACACATTGCCATTGTCTGGTTCATAACCCGCCTTGCAGCTGCAGCTGCCGATGGGAACCATCCACTCTCCGTCTCCGTTACAGTAGAGCTTTATAGGCACGTCTACCTCCTCGGCGTTGGGGATACAACTTCCCCTAGCGATGACTAATGAGGTGGACTCCGCTCCAGTCAGTGTCTGCACAGAATCAGAATCATAAAAATTAATATGGTGGACAACAGCTGCACCAAACTCTGATGAAAAGAGCACAACAGATTTAATTTAGTTCTGGTCCACACCTCTGGGAAAAAAGCAAAGTTCTGCACAATGCTCGGGCATTTCTTGTAGAATACTCTGACAGCCAGAAGGGACATGCAAGCGCCCAGATCCTGGAAGGCCAAGTGGAACCCTCTGCCTTTGGACAGCGGCCCGAAACTCCGGACTTCTGTGTTCACCTTCATTAGCCGTCCACCAAAATCAACCTGGGAGAAACTCTCATCGGCTGCAATAGTGTCCACCTTACAGTGAGGTACACAGAGAGGATAGGAAAGAGGAAAAAGGGCAAAGAAAACGTTGTAAATTGACTATTTTTTCAGCTTCTTCTGTCTCTGTTCTTTGTATAAAGGAAAATTGTGGTTCTTATTTTAGATCCACTAAGTAATGGTTGAATCTGCTGTACAATACTGAATAAATGCACCTGTGACAACATAACATATAATTTTGTTATGTTCTAATTAACTATTTCCAGTGTGAAACAACAGTGAAAAAATGTGGTTAATTGCATAAGACTGTGTACTTGACATTTTTAGTAGAGAAGTCAAATATGAATCCCTAAGTACACAGGAAAAAAAAACACATTCGATCAGTAAGAGTTACATCAGTAGGGTCCTCCCATTCAATTGCTAATTTAGTTTAAAAAGTAGAAACATTTTTAAAAAAAACTATAAAATCTAAATTGCAAAATTTGCAGATACGTGATTTTCACTGGACAGAGACGATTTACTAAATATGCACAAATGTCAGATTTCCAGCCTCTGGCCTTCATTTTCTCCAAAGTAGTGAATTGATGAGACTCATTTGTACGGCAGCATTTAACACTCCCATTAACATGTCAAATGACAAAAAATATCAGACTTGAAGCTGAATTGATGGCCATAACAAAGCCCAACAATATTGGTCTCTTTGTGCAAAGAAAAATGTTGATTATCATCACAATTTTACTTTGAAATAGTTTGAAAATCTTGTCAGAACCGGCAGCTCTTCACACAATTCAAAGGCTCCAGTTTCTAGATCTAGTACCTTAAGAAAAGGGGCATTGGCCCAGTACTCCACCCCTTTGATGCCCTCTGACACGGTCCTGTCGGTCTCCAGGTAGTACAGGTTGAACGTCTCTTTGCAGGAGCCCAGGACGCTGGGAATGGAGGCGCAGTCTCGTACGGTGAAGCGGATTTCCACGTAGATGCGCTGTGCCGCCCGCCGGTCGATGTAAGTGGTGAGGAGCCAGTTGTTCTGGCTGGGCTCGAACACATTGCACACCTGGTATGTCCTGATGGTGTTGAGGTTCTCATCATATCCGCTCACCTCCTCCCACTGAAGAATGTGTGTGTGTGTGTGTGTGTGTGAGGGGGCAGGGGGTATGGATGAGAGGGGAGGAAGTAGAGGAAGAGGGTAGAGGAGAGGGTAAAATGATTAATGGGTTTACCAAGACCTGACACAAATTAAACTCTCTCTCTCTCTCTCTCTCTCTCTCTCTCTCTCTCTCTCTCTCTCTCTCTCTCTCTCTCTCTCTCTCTCTCTCTCTCTCTCTCTCTCTCTCTCTCTCTCTCTCTCTCTCTCTCTCTCTCTCTCTCTCTCTCTCTCTCTCTCTCCCTCCCTCCCCCCTTTCCTACCTCCCGACTTACCTCCCTCATTCGCTTTTTTCTCTACCTTGTTCTTTTCTGAACAGGGACAACCATTCATCACAATTAGAGCCACTCACCTCACACACAGAGACACACACACACACACAAACGCGCACACACGCACACACACAGAGCAGACCATTGCAACCAGCTAGGAATCAAGCCAGAATTTAAAAAATACAAGGAGTTCAGGAAAGTGACTGGATGACCATTTTTTCTATTTTATTCTTTTTTGTATAATTGTATTCTATTGTATTCATTCATCTACTGCAAGCTCGTATGTGCTACCCCCTCTCTGATCTATTGGAGTCCGTTCTATTCTGCATCAATAGTGGTTAATTGGTGTCACCTTGCAACTGTAATTAAGATTTTGACAGACTCGTTAATGGAGCACTGTAAAGTGTACTCAAACTGCTTTCCCCAAGGGTCACACACACACACACACACACACACACACACATACAGTACACCTTTGCACATTGTTCTTACTCCATTGGCAGGGAACGATATCCAGCCAAGCTCAGCTGTCGCTGTCCTTGTATCCATCACTGTCTCTGTGTCAGACAGAAAGAGAGACAGGCAGAGAAAGAGAGAGAGAGAGAGAGAGAGAGAAGCAGGAAGAGGACAGGTATGAGTTTAAATTAATAGTCAGCTCAGATGACAACTTTAGTACTGCATAGTGATGCATGTCATTCATATTCGTACAATCCCACTTTACACCTTTTCTGTAGGCTAATGCTTCTCCCGCTCTCATTTCCACCCCCCTATAATATCCTGCTGTACAGAGTAATAGTAAGTTAGTACTCTAATATTTTATGAATACGACTGCAGTTATGGCATTGACGTTAGCAGTTGTTAACAGTGTTAGCAACAGCAATGTCTTAAAAAAGGGTGAATGCAGTGTTAGTTTACCATTTCAGCTAATGGCTAGTGACTGCCTTGTAATTCCTGAACTAAAGCTTGTTAGTGGCTAGCCAGCTACCAAGACCCAACAATAAATAAATAAGACAACTTTGGAGTTAACCAGAAGCCATATTCCTTCTCTTTTAGCCATGGCTAGCCACCTTCACCTACAGTCCCAGCGGGAAGCTTAAAAATGTCCACTACCGGTCTCTCTACTGAACACACAGAGATGAAATTGATACTAATCCTTATAGGACAGCAAATAAGCTCAACTCTCAACACAACAGAGCGTTAAAGGGATTAGTAAATGTAATGTAATTAGCCAATATAACACCGTGTTCCATGAGATAATATAAATTTGTCAACCCGAGACATTTTTCTTTTCTGTTTATAACAGGAACGATAACCTATTCGCATTTCTGGGTGTAGACCATTGTGGACAATAGTGGAAATCAATGAGCAGGACTGCAGTCCTGGTTGGTTGTTTAATCCATAAACAAACTATATTCCAGTATATCAGGCTGATTGTGCTATAAAATTAAAACATACTGTGATAGAGGACCTATTGCCCACTCCTAGATTTATTCTCTAAATTTCAAATTGCAGTCCCTTTAATTGTTAGTGAAATAATATTAATTTAGCATACATTTAATAAGATTACAGGTTAAATCAGTCAGTCATTAAATAGACAACACTATGTGAGTGTGTGGAGCACTCAGCTGATCTAGCTTCCACTAATGACTTCATGCCCCCACCTGAACACACACCCTCCGCTTTATCTGTTAAGGTACCTCACATACCTGACACATTGATTAAGTCACAGCTGGCTGACACACTGGCACAGTACTGCACATCACAAAGCTAATTGTTTATCCTTCAGATGGCGACAAAGATGTCTGAAAGCTAAAAATATATATAGCCTATATAAGATAACTCAACAACAAAACTACTTGACAGCAAAAGCCCAGATGGCCACGTTCACTGTAAAAACATGTCACTTCATATTATAGATCCCACTGTGTTAATGGTAAAATATTGCTATGTGAGCACTCCTTAGAGCTATTTTAAGCATATTACTGCCTGGTATGTGCAAAGCCTGGCAGGCTGGGAGAAACAAATTTTACATATATGTCCATACATGTTAATGTTGAGTGGAGTACAGTAAGTGGAAGGAAAACCACATAATTTAGGATGATGGAGTGATGGAAGAAAACTTGCATTCCACTGTGTAAAAATACTGATTAAATAAATATATTTTGCCACCTTGTTAAGCACAATTTAAGATCTTATTCAAACACTGGAAATTGCTAGAAGGAAAAAAGATAGATGATAGAAAGTATCCCTTTGTTGTTTCAGGTTTGTGGGTGTTTTGTGAGCTTTTGTGCGATTCTTCAGCATGAAATGAAGTCTTTTCTCCCATGAATGTTTCATTTTTGCTCATGTGGCTCTCCTGCTTTACTCCTGGTTGAAACTAAAACTGCTGTTGGAAAAAATTAAAAGCAACAAAGAGCGGCGAGTGGACACGCTGAGACACTCGAGCCGACATAAGTTAGTTGGCATGCTGACAACACAGACCCTAACGCCGAGTCCCCTTTGTAATAAAACATGGTGAGAAGATTCGACGACATCACACCGTGAGGCAGCCGCAGGCAAACAACCCCCCCCTTGATTCTTGACATGCTCTCCTCCTCACAACCTGATCTTGCACTCTTTCATTCTGTCACCCTGCTTCTCATTATCTCCTCCTCCTCCTCCTCCTCCTCCTCCTCCTCACACCCTCCCCACCTTCATCCTCTCCTTCACTCTACCTCCCTGTCTTTTATCTCCCCCTCTACCTTGGGTGCTTCTTTTTTTGTCAGCGAGCTAGCCTAATTACGGCAGAACCCAGTTTTTCAGCTCTCCCTCGGGAGTGAAGGTCGTTTGGGAAAAATGAAATGCTTGTCACGCGAATATGTAGTCGACTATCAAAATCTTGGACCAAAGCTTACTCAAACGGTGACAATTGTCACTATCTAATTTGTAGCTTCAGTGCGTTTAGTGGCATGTTGTCAACAAAGATTTTCAAAAACCGATCCACGGCAGAATATAGACCCAGTTTATTTCTGCTTTGCATATTTTTCCTGTTCAGATGTCTTTGAAGTTTGGGTTAAAAAAAATAAAATAAATAAGAATAAAAAGAAAAATGCTAATATAGAGAGAAACCCACAATGTTGACAGAAGAGATGTTGGAATAGCTCTTGTAGTCTTACAAGCTCTACCTTCCAGCAAAGTCTTGCAAGATGGGATTTGATTCAGGGCTTTGCTTAAAGAATAGAACAATGGCTGTGCACTGTCACACTCCAACATACGACCATATTTCTACTTCAAAACAGGCTGTTAAAAGGCATATTCGCAGGCTATTTTAGCATACAATACACAAACTTTTGCTGGTAATACATTTATTGAAAATTGATTGCGCCATCATGCCCAGGAACTCTTGGGAGGCCTCTGTGATTCATCATTTCATGTTATTACATCGCGCTCACAGCTTGAGCATTATGACCAAGTGCTGGAAGAGAAATGTGGCGACAGAAATACATCCAACTACTTATTTGATATGAAGTAAATATAAATGAATAAAAAAATTGAATTCAACACACACGTCTGATCATCTTTCTCCCTTCATTACTGCTGCAACTAATGATAGTTTTCAGCTAATTTAAAAAGTATTAAGTATTGATTGATTTTATTTAACTAGGAAAGGGGCTCACTGAGATTTTAAATCTTGCTATACTTAAAACAGAGATTGAAAAATGTGCACTTTTATGAAATGTTTAGTCTAGAAAATGGCACAAAAAAATGGTGAAAAAGCTCATTAAAATTACCCAAAGTGCAAGGTAACATTCTCAAAATAAATGTATTGTCAACCAACAGTCGAAAACCAAAAACATATTTCATTTGCTGTCATATGTGACAAAGAAAAGCATAAAATCCTCACGTTTGAGGAACTTGACTCAGCAAATGTTTGGCATTTTTTGCTTAAAAACTGATTATAAAAATACCACCGACTTATTTTCTTTGATCGACGATGAATTGACAAACTGTTTCAATACTCTTCGTATAATTACAGTCTAAGGAGTATAAGAACAGCGTATCTGCAAACCCGTCTTGTGAATTCTCAGTTTCAAAGGGAAGAAGTGTATGCTGGGCTTATTAGAGTGCATCTACTCATCAGTCTAATTAACAGAGCCCAGCACACACCTCTCTGTGCATAATAGGGTATACGCTCCGATCAGCCTAATTACTTTTGACATATTGGAGGCTGTGATCGCAGTGCGCCCACCTCCCCCGCAGTGGTGCACCTCCTCAACCAACACACACCAACCACACCACTGAATGAAACCAAAGCCTTTTTATGGCAGAGGAAACAGCAGGTAAATCTGAACAATATTGTAGCCGTCAAAGAGGCTGTTAAATCCTTGTTGTGGCCAACGAGGGAGAAATAAAAGTATTTCGATCACAGACGCTGAATTAGAAGTCATTTTACTGTTTTGCTGCCTCCTCTTTCTTTGTGTTTATGTGTGTGTGTGTGTGTGTGATGTATAAGTACAGGTGGTCAAATAGCAAGTGAGGTCGGTTCATCTTATCCTAATTAGCCTAGTGTGTTCTAACCAGATTAGTCTACTGTTAGAAGACAAATTGATTTATATGCCTCTAAATGTGTGTGTGTGCTGTATACATTGTATGTGTGTATGCCTCCGAGAGAAAGAAAGAACGTACTCCTGGAAGCACAATACACGTGGTTAAGGGAGCACACCAAAATAACACACAGACGTGAACATACACACAAGCCAAACACACGCTAAAAGCCCTCCCGGAGTGAAAGACGTCATACCGCCCGCAGAGACAGTCGTTGACCAATCAGGCGTTGAAGTGGAATGACACGGCATCACGGAAGGACAACTGAGTCAAGAGCACATATTCAGACGCAGATGTGCACTTGCACAAATCAAATATATGTACAGATAAATGTGTACACACACACACACACACAAAAAAAAAAACATAAATCCAAGGACTCATGCAGTGCAGCCTCTTTGAATTCGACCTCACATACCCCCAAAATCAATTATGAAGACAATTATGAGGCACACAGCTCTGAAAAATGAAAAAAACACCTTTCTATGTAACCTGGGTGAACATTTACCTCTCCACAGAAAATTATGTGATTGGAATTAAACACTAGGATGAACAGCTAAACAAAAAACTGTCTGGGACCATTAGAAAAAAAGAATGAAAGTAAGTACATCATGAATCTTATCAAGTTTTAGCTCTTGTCAAAAATGGTTTCCTGCATTAGGCCCACAGGAGCTCCAGTGGGTTCAGTATTACACTCTAGTGTCTCCAAACTGCTCTTATCCGCATGCAGTTCCCTTCAAGCTTTGGCTTGTACACAATCTGCAAAGTCTCACCCGATAATTTCTACATTCAACATCAATCTGAAGTACTGGCTAATGGGCTGACCCTGTTGTCTTAAAAGAGTCTGCTCAGCAGTTCGAAAACACATTGTATCAGCAAAAAATAGACATAACTATGCAACAACAGTAGATTTATACAAGGAGCCATAGATGTTGGACAAAATTGCAATTCTGCTACAAAAGCATGACAACAT